TTAGCAAAATCTTTTCATTTTGTCCACTCAACACACGCCCCAAACCTACCGTGTCGCAGGCATTCAAAAACTACTGGGATGTCCTATAATTTCCTTTGGCTCAGTTGGCAGAGCTAGAGGGGTAAAGGAAGACCAGTGTCCTTCGCATTCCAAAATATTCGGTATATCCAGAGCACTGTGAAAACAAAGAGGGCCCTAATGGAGGGCCAGTCTGAGATCTCAGGTTGTCTGAGACTGTGGAGAAGGGGCTTCCCAAATGGGGTGTCCTCATCAGGAGGGTGTCTGTGTCTGCACTGCTAGGAATCTGAGCTCCACGCGGGAAATGGAGAGACGTGGCAGGGGGCGCCTCAGGACAACTCCCCCTCCACCCTCCAGAAGCCCACCCCTAGAAGACCAAGCCGTGTCCCTACCACCTTGCAGAAGATGTCCCTGAAGCTGACTGAGCTCAGCTGACCTCGTCCACACCCTGTGACACTGGGCCCTCTAAGTCCTGCAACCAGTTACCTGGTCGTGGAAGAGAAGGCTTCCTGTGTCCGAGTGCAAAACTGGGAAATGAGGGAGGCAGAGCGTGGCTGAAAATGAACAGACGGCACCCATGCAGTTCCCATGCACAGACGCAGACGCACACACTCGCAGGTCAACGTTCTTCCCTCTCCGCTGAGTCATAGTTCTACAGTTAGCTGCTATGACTCTGTTCCTACTCTTGTTGGTAGCCCACGGTTCCTTCATCCTGTCAAGACTTTCCAGGGGCACCTGGGTGGCTCAGTCAGTTAAGCATCCGACCCTGAATTTCGGCTCAGGTCACGATCTCCACGTTCTTGCGATCAAGCCCTGAATCAGGCTCTGAGCTGACAGCGTGGAGCCTGCCTGGGATTCTCTGTCTCCCCCTCTCTCTCTGCCCCTCCCCTGCTCATGCTCTCTCTCAAAAATAAACAGGTGAACTTAAAAAGAAAACAAAGGATTCTCTCTCTCTCCCTCTGCCTCTCCCCACCTCAAAAAAAAAAAAAAAAAGAGACACTTGAAAAGACTTTCCAAACACCAACCCAAAGGCCTTCCTCTGGGTCCAAGCCCAGTTTTACTGAGCAGACAAAAAGAAAAGACCAGTTGCAGTGCTCTGATCAGTCTGCACCAAAGAGGAAGCTGATGCCTTTGTTGTTTATGAATCGCATTGTATTTTACACGCGTGTAATTCCCGATTACGGTGCAGCGCAACGCTGACCTGAATTCAGGAAGCTCTGATTGAATTAAACAAAGGGAGTTTTTTGTTTTGTTTTGTTTTAAATATTTGGGGGCCTGACAAATTCATCCTCAAGAATTTGGAAATAAAGAGAGTTAAAGTAGAAAATCTCCGGGCCTGCTCGGCCACGGCAGCGTGAAGCCGGCCGGAGGGTCGCGCACGGGCAGTGTCCATCCCGAGAGCAAGCGGGGGAGAGGGGAACTTGGGGCGCCAGGCCTCCATTCCTCCAGGAACCCTGGAAGCGCCCTCCCTACGTGCAGCGAGTGGGCAGAATGTTTGGACTGAGCCCCCTGGTGGCCGGACATCACGCACCACCACCGTGGTGGGGGAAGGAGGAGAGAAGTGAATCCAGAACGGGCTGAGCAGAGAAGTCACGGTTAACAGCGGAGGGGTGGCCCCAGGGCCACCGGGCTTGCAGCTGGGATTCAGGGGGACAGCAGACCCAAGCTGGAGGGGCAGCTTAGGTGAGGCCAGCAGCCGGGGTCCCCCGGTTTCCTCCGCGCCCTGTGCCTAGTAAAACGGCTCTTTCAGAGTCGGCCTTCTGGAATATTCGTGGAATGGGTGGGTAAACAACAAGGACAACAAAAAAGGAATGAAGAGTTGAGTGTGACCCTTCTCCCTCACCAGGCAGTTTTCTGATCCTGACGGTGCTTTTATAGGATGAGACAGAATCCACATCACTCTCGAGAGTGTGTCTGGTATTGCTCATGAAATTATGGCTTGGATTCCAGCGAGTGCTTCATCCTAGTATGTGGGTTCGTTAACACGGGTCCTGCGCTCAGGGACTGCCCACCTCTGGGCATGGGAAAGAGCGTGTCCCTCTCCAGGCTGTAAAGCTGCATCAAAACTGTATCAACTGCAATGCCTCCCCCCCAGTCTCCAGCATTATCCCCTCCTTAGCACTTTCTCCCAGACCATCAGCAACGTCACTGCAGTTGATATTAACGTGTGGTTCCCTAGGTTCTTAGGTTGAGTAAAATCTGCTGGAGCTGGAAAGATTGTTCTACATCAACTTCCGTCCTTGCTGCTTAATGAAATCCCTCACCTGGGAAAAGAGTGATTTTGAACCACGTCGCTTTCCGTGGCATCAGCACGAATCTGTGACTCGTGAAATTCCAAAACGCCTCTGTGTCTGACGCTTCAGGTGCAACAAGGGCTGTAGGAATCCCCTCTGCAGACATTAAAGACAGATATTAACCGAGAATTGAAAATGACAGCAGAGGAGATTGAATCGGAATGGCAAGACGAGCACACGGCCCTGCTTCCCCTCCTGCTCCAATCCCTTGAAATGGCAGAATATATGTACATGTATATACACATATATATACGTATATATACATGTACATATATATACATGTACATATGCATATATATGCATATATATACATATTTATATGCATATATATTGCTTGAAATGTCAGAATATATATATGTATATACACACATATATACGTATATATATATATACATGTACATATATATACATATACATATGCATATATATGCATATATATACATATTTATGATATATATTGCTTGAAATGTCAGAATATATATATGTATATACACACATATATACGTATATATATATATACATGTACATATATATACATATACATATGCATATATATACATATATATACATATTTATATGATATATATTGCTTGAAATGTCAGAATATATATGTGTATATACACACATATATACGTATATATATACATGTACATATATACGTATACATATGCATATAAATATGCATATATACACATATATATACATGTATATATACATATGCATATATATGCATATATATATATTGCTTGAAATGTCAGAATATATATGTGTATATACATGTACATATATATACATATACATGTGCATATATATATTAAGAATACATCCATAATGGTACTAGAAAACAAGAAATAATACTATCAGAGACCCCCAGATTTGGAGACTTTCCTGGCAAAATGCAGCACATAGAAGTGAGAAGAGAGAAGATGCCTGGAGACCACAGTGCTCAGGAAAGAATGACTTTAGATGTAGGGACACTTCCAAGGAGACGCTGAACTCACAGCAGATTCACCGAAGAACACGAGGCTGTCTGTGTCCAGTGACTTGATCGCATTCATGACCCCAATTCCTGTACTCGTGCCCTTGGCCGTGACGCTTCACGGTTTCCGTCACCACAGAAGGTGCATCTGTCTGCCATCCCTTGAATCTGGACTGGCCTTATGACGTACTTTCCCCAATAAAGTGAGGCAGGAGTAACCGTATGTCAGTTCCAAGCCCGGCCCGAGAGGCCCTTAATGTGTTTCTGCATGTTTCCATCTGCCGCTCTTGATATTCTGGCACTGTCACGAAAGTCCAGATTGGCCTCGTGGGGTGTGACAAACCGGAAATAGGGCGACGTCTCCCCCGGTCAACCTAGCCAACAGCCTGCCGCCACCCGGGCACGCGAGGGAGCCACTGAGGTTTTGTGGCAGTATGTTACACAGCGTTGTCACGGCAGTATGTAACTGATACGGACCCCCAGCCGTGTGCACGACACCCCGTCACTGCTTATAACGACTAGCATTTGATGCCAAAATCGAGGAGTACCTGTACTCAAAAGAAAGAGAACCCAGGCCTAGGGAGGGCTCCTGTGTGAGCACGGAAGTCTCACAGAAAGGAGAAAAGGAGCTGTGTTTAGAAGAACTCTAGGCTCCAGACTTTCTAGAGAGCAGGAGGAGGGAAGGAAAAGGCGGCTGTACTTAATGGGCGAATAAACTGACGTCTCCCTCAACAGGGTTAAGAGAGTCCTCCTATTTTAGCCATGCGGGTAGTGGTAGGAGGCCCCAGACCGCTTGCCTCCTCCATTTTCGAGCGTCCAAAAATGAGACACCCCAGTGGATGCACTCTGCTTGCTTAAACAGAGCCTGGAATCAGGTCTTGTACTTGGGAGAGAGACCCAGTGCAGACACAGAGGCAGTAGTAGTAGAGAAGCTCGCCCAGCGGTCCACACCCGTCTGCCTCTGTCGTCGGCCATTAACGTAAAGGAACAGCCAAGGGACACGATGTTGGAGAAAATCTCGACACGAAGGAGAAGCCGTAAAATAAAGACGAGGCCAACCAATTCTAGAGGAAACAAAGAATTTAACAAAGGAAAGAAACATCGTTTTAAAAACATAGTAATAGCCTCAGAAAGATCATTATAATGTCACATCCATAACAGAAAGTGGCAAATATGAATAGGAAATTTTTCTAAAAGAATAATAAAGAACCCTTATCTGTATGTAAAAATAGAGCTACTATATTTTTTTTTAATACGGCACAGAGAGGGCACCTGGGTGGCTCAGTCGGGTAAGCACCCGACTTCAGCTCAGGTCATGATCGTGCAGTGCAGTTTGTGGGTTCGAGCACCGCATCGGGCCTTGTGCCGACAGCTCAGAGCCTGGAGCCTGCTTCAGATTCTGTGTCTCCCTCTCTCTCTGCCCCGCCTCCACTCATGCTCTATCTCTCTCTCTGTCTCTCAAAAAATAAATAAAACATTAAAAAAATTTAAAATACAGCGCAGAAATAACACTTACTTTGAATATATAACAAAACTATTTTTATGGGTGGAAAGAACTGGTCAAATGTCATAATTATTTCACTTCTGTTTATTTTAGGATTATTTGTATAAACACAAAACTATTGCTTCTGACTCTAAAGTAATCATCTTTTTTTTTCTTTTGGTCCCCCCTCTCCTTCCTCCCTCAACTCATTCTGTCTTCATTATAGGCCAGGAGACATGATTACTCTTCTAGAAGACACCAATGAAGATTGGTGGAAAGTAAGTATTTCTCTTTCTTTAAAAGAAAGAGAAATTTATTTATTTGGTAACTATCTGGTAACCATCATTACGACAGATGTTACAATTGCGGATGCATGCCTCCTTTTTCCTTTCAGGGAAAAATTCAAGACAGGATTGGCTTCTTTCCGGCCAACTTTGTTCAGAGAGTACAACAAAATGAGAAGATTTTTAGATGTGTTAGGACCTTCCTTGGGTGTAAGGAACAGGGGCAGATGACACTGAAAGAGAATCAGGTGAGTACAGCATGCACGCACACAGCAGGTAGGACTAAAACAGAGTCACGGTCACTAACAAACATAAATCTAAATGAATGCAGTCATATTCAAAGTATTCACTTTGAGGAACGGTACAGACACGCCCGTGATAATTGTGTCGTGTGTAGGGTCTAAACCCGCAAAACCAGAATGTTCGCAAGTTTAGCTGGTGGGGTCTGTTCACAAAAGGAAATACACATAACATCGTAGCAGCAGACTTAGGACTCTGGTCCTGGTGCTTTCCTCTGAGGACCACTCGTCTCTGAGGTGGACCCCTGCTCCAGTCCAGTTTGGGTTTTTTGCTGGTCTCCACCAATGCATGGTTCGCAGTCTCTTGGGAATACGTTGCTGTTCCCCGCTGACGCGTTCCACAGTTCATTGCATTTGCCTCCAGTCACAAAGACCCTTCTCAGTAATGTCTACTTGTCCAGACTCCAAGCTCCTGCCTTTTCACTGGAATGCAAGACACCTTCACATGGCTGCATAAAACAGTCAGGACGTAGGTAACCAGGGACTAGCTCACACCAGTGCCCGAATAGCTCCCTACATCTAATCTAGAGGTGTCTGGTGCCATCTTGTGCCATGTTGAACTTGGAGTTCACTGTGATACCGTTGATTTCCTGAGAAGTAAGGCCTTGTACCTATATGTCTTCAGGCTCCTTGCTTCTTCCTCTCCCATCTCACTTCTGGAATGTTGACAGACACAAAGGGAGAAGACACACACGGCTCAGCTCTTGGTCCTAACTCTGCCTTTCTTGGCCTTCTTCCAGCCGAGAGAGGGGGCTTCCTACCGCCCCTTCTTCTCTGACTCCAACTTCCTTCATGTCCTATCCTGTATCCTTGCTACAGAGCAAAATAATATGCTAAGACCTCCAAGTTTGCTCTTGGTGTATTTGGAGATGATCCGAAAAAATCAGACCATAGAAATTTCTTCTATTTCCTAATAGAGTCTCACAATTGACTCTAATTTCCAATTTTGGAAATCAAAACCTTGCCTCTCTTTTGTCTCCGTTGTTGGTATGGTAATTCTAATATCTCCTGAGGCAATTAAACCTCTGGTTGGAAAAGATGAGGCCCACTCTACAAAGAAGTACAAAAAGAAAAACACGTTAATGGCTTTAATACTATCCCTGTTCAATAATTGCCCAAAACACATCTTGAATGTCATTTTTGGAATTGCCTGAAAAGATAGTTTCTAACTCCCATAAAAAAAAAATCAGTCATTACTTCGTAATTATATCTGATTTATAATTTTTTTTTTAATTTTTTTTTCAACTTTTATTTATTTTTGGGACAGAGAGAGACAGAGCATGAACGGGGGAGGGGCAGAGAGAGAGGGAGACACAGAATCGGAAACAGGCTCCAGGCTCTGAGCCATCAGCCCAAAGCCTGACACGGGGCTCGAACCCACGGACCGCGAGATCGTGACCTGGCTGAAGTCGGACGCTTAACCGACTGCGCCACCCAGGCGCCCCTGATTTATAATTTTTAAAAATTGGTTTTCCTAATTTGATCAGCAATTTTATATGCCACACATAGATTGAAATACTTGATCATTTTCAAACTAACAAATACACCCTCAAGAAATAATGATTTACCTTTTCTTTTTGGCTATTTAAAAGAAAAATATTTAGCTCCAGCCCAGCCCCCAGTTGAGAGAGAAGGAAAGAATAAATTAATACAGTCCTAGACATTGTCACAATGATAATTATTATAAGTATCATGATTATTATTACTTATTATTTAATGATGTCATACATATGTATTTATAAAGTATATATACCTACAGCATTTTACTTGAGATCCCAAACAAAAGCTCATAGAAGATTTTGCCTTGCTCAAGGGGGCAAAAACCTGGTAAGTAGCCAGAATGGAACTTAAGCATAGATTTGCACATTCTAAGCCCATACTTTCCATGGAGTCATGTGCCCTGGACCATGTGGACCAACTTCTGAGCAGGACAGCACCATTTGCATAGTTTGGCTCCCAAGGAAAGCAAATGTCATAAAGGCAGGTGTCCTAGGACCAGAGAGGCCCTTGAAAACAAATTCTTGCTCATATGAGTGCCCTGCTGGGTCATTCCAGGCAATGGAATCATCCTTGTCAAACTGAGACCCCCATCTCTAATCCCACACCCCCCCCTCCACAAAGCAAACACCTACTTTCCCGCTGGGTTCCATGCCAATGCCTCAAATTTCTCCAAGCTCACCAAATTATATCCTCCCTGGTCCAAAAGCTTGGAAAGTCTTTTGAATGAAATAAATTTGAGAAGGCTTTTCATCTTTATTGGCAAAGTGTTATTAAATAATTTTGCTAGCACGCTTGATTTTTTTCCTCAGAATATTCTTGTGCTTCCCCACTTGAAAGTAAATGTTGTTTTTGTTTTATTAATATACAAGTCCGTGAAATCAGAAGGCAAATGAAAACTTGCTCAAGTTGATCAATTCCCAGAAGCAGAACATCAGCTCAACGACTCCTACCAACTCCTTGGCCTTCGTCCCCCAAATTGTGTTTTCTGGGAATGGGCTCACACCTGCATTCTGGACTCTTTATGGTTGAACTGACCATCTTCCAGGATGGGTAGGGGTGAGACAAACAATCCAACCTCTTCAGTTAGACATGCTGAAGACACAACACAGCCTGAACCAGGAACAAACTGGATCTGCTCATAATCCTTTAAAAAAAAAATTATTTATTTATTTATTTATTTATTGAGAGAGAGAGAGAGAGAGAGAGAGTGCGTGTGTGTGTGTGTGTGTGTGTGCAGGGGAGGGGCAGAGAGAGAGAATGTCACGCAGGCTCTATGATGTCAGCGCAGTGCCCGACTTGGGGCTCAAGCTCACAAACCATGAGATCATGACCTGAGCTGAAACCCAGTCAGACGCTTAACCAACTGAGCCACCCAGGTGCCCCTGCCTATATCCCTCTTAAAAAGTTCCATAACTTTGCCCAGCCTGGTGTTTCTGGGAGTGTGGTCTTTGCACCACCTGAATCCTAATCACCTGGGAGGTGGTTGAAAATACAGACTCCTGGACTCCATTCCAGACCTGGTGAAGCAGAACTGCTCAGGGTAAAGGCAGGGAATCCCTTTACAAAGGCCCCAGGATCGAAGCTGAAGTGAGAGCACGACCTTCATTTCCATGACCTCACCTTGACGTCCTGCAGTGGTCCTGTGACAACCAAAGGACACCGTGGCTGTGACAATGCCAAGTGGAAGGCATGTGGACGTAATGGATTCCAGTTCCAGACGGGTCAGCAAAAGGCACGTAGGGCTCGTTAGCCCCGCACGATTTTCCGTTTTCAATCTTTGTCATCAGCATGGCAACCAATTTCGGAAAAATGTCAGCCACTTGAAAGAAAATTTACATTTTAAAAATCTGTTATTGAGAAGGATTTTTTGAAATTCTGGCTCCACTTTTGTGGCCTCCCATTATTTTAGGTGTCAAATTTCAAATAGAAGGAATTCGATTCTAAAAATAATGCAATGCATCTCTGATTACATCACATTTCTGCCTCTGGGGTTAATTTGTCTCATAATTCTATTATTTTTTCGCAGAGCTCTTGTTTCCAAATAGAATCAAGTTATCCTTATGTTGCGAACACAACTAGAGTTTGCATTAATGCCAAAGTGTGTTTTCTGCATTTTTGAAATTTAAAAAATACCCTCATGAAATCAACTTTAAATACCATAACAGTATTGCATTAAATTCATCCAAAGTTCTGCCATCCCCGTAAAACTACTTTTATTGATTCTTTGTGTTTTCGTCAAAGCTTTCCAGACAAATAGGTAAATTATTTTTAGATTACAAAACTGAAATGCATTTATTGTGGAGAAAATTTGAAAACTACCCCCAAGAAAGTATAAATGCTTTGTTTGGTACCTTCCATGGCACATGTGAATCCTAACTGAATTGATCGTTGCCGGCGATGGTTTTAGTGGTTGGCCAGTCCCCCAGTTCCTGTCAATGGGAGAAGTCAGAAGGTCAGCTAAGGGCATCCGCTGGGCTCAGTAGTGCTTGTGTTCCTACACGTTCTTGGCCCCTCCAGCCTCTCTGACTTTTTCCCACAGATTCCCCACCTCCAAAGTGCCACACTCCCTTGATACTGAAATATGTTCATCTCCTACTTTTCCCCCCTCGTTTTTACCTTGCCATCTTTGCTTAAAGGCCTCTTCTTTAGGGAGGTCTTTCTTACCCCCTCGGCCAGATCAGATTGCCATAGATACTCACATCAGCACCCCTTTCCCCATGAGTGAGGAATTAATTCATTCAGCAATGTGCTCATCACATGTGTAATTACTCAGTGAAATATCTGTCCCCTAGTTCTGCCCAATAAGCTCCAGGAGAGCAGGGATCTGCCCTTTTTTCATCAGTTTCCAAGTTTCTGGAGTGGTATCTATTACATAGTAGGCACTCAATAAAAACTTGAATGAACGAATGAATGGATGAATGAATGAATACAGGAAGTGGGGTATCTTTCACGTGGCCTGACCAAGAAAACATTTGCTGGGATAATCAACAGCCCCACTTGGTCTCTGGGACTGATGAATTTCCTGTGATGTAGGACTTTCAGTGAAAAGATTGAGAAAGTCCCTGGCAAACCAAGACAAGTTGGGTACCCTCTTCATGGCCCTCCGAACCAAAGGAGTTGCTGTGGTTCTCCCTCACCTCCTGCCCTTCTCTACCCATAATCTTCTGGGCTCATCTTTCCATTCTACCTCGAAATGCAATGCTTCCAGCCCGGTTACTGCTTCCTAAAATGGTAGGTAGGTTCTCAAGCGTGGCGAGTTATGTTATTTGTACCACCAGAATTTTAAATTCTAGACCCTTTATTTCTGGGAAGAGTACAAACCACTGAAGCCTATTTTCAGCCATTTCTGTTCATCTTTTTTCAACTTCCTTTAGCTTCCTCCTCTGTTTACCCATTGTCTGCTCCCAAGACTGTCCAAGGAGGGCATGGTGGGTACCGAACTCCTCGTCCTTTGGAAGGTCTCCCCAGATCAAATCACTGCAGGGGTGCCAATTAGGAGGTGCAAAGTAAGTCCATACATGCAACAAAGCATGAGCATTGGTGCTTCTAGGCCTCCCTACTCTTTGAGACCCCCTCAGACCACTCTTCCATTGCCTCTACCAAACCATGTTTCACTTCCAAGCTGAAATCTCGGGAGAGAGAAGGAAAATTAAAGGTAATGTGTACAGACACACAGTGGGATTTTGCTGGAGAGACTGAAATTGACTGCTAACGTAAATAGCGGAAAACTCAGAAACAGACCCAGAAAGCTAACAGAGACCCAAACTGCGGCCATTTTTGGTATGTTCTCAGGCATGGGGTAATGGTGTAAGGCTCTTAGCTCTGGCCAGAATTTCAGTTTTCTGATTCCTTTTCCAGGGTTCTCCCTATTAGACATCACCATGATATAACATCTGTGTGTGTGTGTATGCCAGTAAATTGTTTTCAGGTTTGATTTCTTTATATAACTATTTCAAACTATAAACTCATTTTTTAAAATAAGCATCTAGAACAAATCTGCACGAGGAAGCAGATGTTGATGCAGACTGCTTAGACTAATAGTAAAGGTTGTCGAATTTGGGACATATGTCAAGAAGGAAGAAAACTCCGTCTTTGACGGGTTTTAATGGTAAATCCTGCCCCCGGGGCATTTTAATGGGTTCTTTTTTTTTTTTTTTTTTTTTTTTTTTTTTTTTTTTTTTTTTTAAATTTTTTTTTTCAACGTTTATTTATTTTGGGGACAGAGAGAGACAGAGCATGAACGGGTGAGGAGCAGAGAGAGAGGGAGACACAGAATCGGAAACAGGCTCCAGGCTCTGAGCCATCAGCCCAGAGCCTGACGCGGGGCTCGAACTCACGGACCGCGAGATCGTGACCTGGCTGAAGTCGGACGCTTAACCGACTGCGCCACCCAGGCGCCCCGTGGGTTCTTTTAAGACATATACTCCCTGCCCATCCCTAGGGTCTCCTGCCTGCAATGTTTCTGTCATGGGCAATGACAGGCCTTAGTTTTTGGAAATCAGGTGGTTCACCCTCCTTTCGGGGGTCACCTTACCCCATCAGGCTCTAGTAGGATCTAACATGGCCCCTGGGCTATTCCTTTCTCACAGATCACTTCTGGCCTTCGTGAAACAGTCAACGCATCTTCTGTTAAATTAACTCCTGTCTCAGCCTCTTTCCAGTCAAGCTTATCACACAGCAAGTTTCTGAAACATGAACCAGATACCAGCCTGTTGTGTGTCCCAAGCCCCAGGAGTCACAAATGAAGCTCTTTAAGTGGCCTGTTAATGTCTGTCCTTCCATGTGAAGGGGTCTGTATTGGGGCCCTGCCCACATCCTCTTCTCTAGGTGGGTGCCCCTATCCCCCGGTCACTGTGTCGGCTAATATCTCACAGCTGCCCTTTGTCCAGCTAATCCCCCTTCGTGGAACAAGAGCTGCCTGGCCTGATAGGTTGCATCTCTCACAGCCCACGTCAGCCAGTGGCCAACGACTGACACACAGGGCCCAGAAGACCGGACCCCCTGCCTCAAGGTGGGACCGCTCTGTGGTGGGCTTCATGCTCCAGAGCTCCCTGCGGGATCGGGCTCAGGCTCGCCTCCAGCTGAGACCTCACCTTTGCTCAGCTCCTTCCACTGACCGCCATGCTTCCCTCGCTTCCCACCTCCCGAGAGCACGCGCTCAACAAGTCCCTTCACGAGGACTCCCGTCTCAGGCTCTGTTTCTGGGGAATCCAACCTAAGACATAACCTACCACCCACGGAAGCAGGTCGACTGGGTGAACTCACAGCACACCAAAGGCTCTTTTTCAAAGCCTCTTCTGTACCTCTGACCACACCCACCCTTCATGCCGTTCGGTGGCCTGGCAGTGGTAAGTGACAAGCATGCCCAAATGGATTTTAAGCACCTTCTTGTTAAGGCCGGCACAGGTGGACTAGGGGAGACGTTAGCATCTCTTTGCTTTGCTTGGGGCCAAGAATGGAATAGCTTCTTTGGATTTTCTGATACGACGTATATAAATTTCCAAGCACATGACAAGAGCCTGCTGAATGGTAGCTATTTGTTTGGATCTTTAAAACGTTTTGAGGACTCATTGCATGGCACACGCTAGGCTCTATAGGAAGCATTATTTCATTCTGTCCTCGTAGTGACTCTTCAGAGGGACACAGTATGATTAATTCCATTTTATTGATCTTCGTTCATAAAGCTGAATCTCAGAAAACATACGACGCCTGCGCATAGTTCCAAAGCCAGGATCTGCCTAATATTTATTCAACCTTTTTCTTACAGAGCCAGTCCCACTCCCTGAAACTCCTGTCCCTTTTCCAGTTTGGTGCTCCTGGCCTCAGTCTGCAGCGATTCAAGCCATAGTAGCTTCTAGCTTCTTCCTTGTTGACCCTTTGGTGTTTTCTTCCTTGGCATTCAGATCTGCGTGACCTCCGAAGAAGAGCAAGACGGCTTTATCAGAGTCCTCAGTGGAAAGAAGAGGGGCCTCGTCCCCCTGGATGTCCTAGAAAACATCTGATTGCTGGCCCCCCTGCTTTTGCAGTGGATGGGCTCCGCCGCGATGCCTCATCTCACACTGTGTCCACGCAGAGGAGCTGTCGCGCTGACCCTCCACCCGGGAAACAGTGAGACAAGACTCACGGATCTGAGACTGGAGTCCCAGCCACAGGACAGAGGGCCCATCTCACAGCATTGCCGGGCTGCCCAAGGTGGGGGCGAGGCTGAGCTGAGCACTTTGCAGGTGGCGGTGGCGGTGGCGGTGGGGCAGTAGCCACAACTGTCCCTGAGGATTCACCTCAGTCCCCATCCATGTGATGTAAGTTAGCCCGCTGGAGTGTGCTCCAGCTTGTGGTATGGGCCCTGTGCAAGGCTCAGATCCCTATAGCCAAGTGTGATTCTGATTCCAGACCTGTGTCCCCAGTCCCGGCCCATCCATGTCACCACGTTTGCAGTCTCTGCATCAGGAAGTCCTGCTTCCCAGCCCCCAGCATCCTAGGGCTCCTCTCAGCCCCTCTCACTTTGCATTTGTACTGTCTCTTCTGTCCTCTGAGTCAGTCGTGGGGTGCCCTTGAGGTGTGAGGGCTGAGCTGGTGGCACCAACCACCGAGAGAGACCTGATCTGCCCAAAGGTGGCCGACAGGCAGTCCCTGCTGCTGCTTTAGTTACCAACAGAGGTGACAGAGCAGGACACGAGGCCCGACAAATACAGAGGGCGAAGCGCAGGGTAAGGTGGGGCAAAGAGCCCTACTTATTGAAGAATATACAGCCCTTCGGGTTATGAAAGCATTTCCCTGAGGCGATGGGCCTGAGGAAGAGAATGGGGCAAAAAATCTCAGCGATCAGCCCTGTTTCATTCCACGTCCCCTGTAGTAGGGGCAGCGTTTTCCCTCAGGCCATCCTATAAGACCCCCTTTTGGAGGCTGAGCCCAGCTTGTAGAGAACCAGGAACCTGGAGGAGAACCAGCCGCATCTTAGGAGAAAAGTAGCCAACTCTGAATCCGTTCCTCTTTAGGGCAGTATATTATACCCTAGCCGATGTAAAGTGGAAAAGAATCTTTTAGTGCTTCATCCCTCAGAAAGTAGAGGAACTTGGGGCCTCTTTACCATCAAGTGGGGAGTCCCTCTTACTCTGTATTTGTACTAATGTTTACAAGCATTCAATATACTGTGATGCCTTCCTCCGCAAGCCTCCTCCTGGCATTCGAACTTGCATCCGATTACTTAGTCATTAATCCGGTTAAACTTCAATTCACAGTGACCTTGGAACCCATGTCAGCTCGATTCATTTTGTTACAGAGCAATAAAAGCATTAGTACAACTGGTTTTTAAAAGACTTAAGTGGGTGCATCTTGTGCATGTAAGCATTGTTCCCCAAACCCTAGTATCATTAGTCTCCATTTATTTCTTTTGTTACTACTCAGCATGATGTTGGGAGCTGAGAGAGGATGGCTGCTGGCTTCACAGTAGTTTGGATGCCTTACTGTCGTTTTAAAGCCAGCATCCAGAATTCCCTCCCTCTCCGGTACAACCTGCAAAACTGAGTGTGCCGAGACAAGATGGGTTCTCTGAGAGCCAGGGTGGATAATAGGACTGCCATTCCCTAAAACGGAATGGCAGAGTCCAAACACTTTCTGCCTCTAATTCTGTATTCCATTTAATAAAGACAACACAGTGCTGGAGGGAGCATAGAAAACATGTGTCCTGATCTCTTCTTTCTGGCAGAAGATCCACTGAAGCGTTTTGGTATAGCGGTGTCACATCCTAGGCAAACTTAACTTGCACTGAAAAATCAGTTTGCCTTTGGAAGCTGAATAGAAGGAGGCTGTTGTAGCCTGCCCCCAAGGCGTTCCCCCAGGGGTCTCTGCCTCCTGATATCCGTGCCTTTGTGTAGCCCGCTCCCACACTGAATCAGGGCTGGTCTTCTGTGACCAGTAGAATACAGCAGAAGTGATGTGGCATGACGTCTGAGTCTAGGCCAAGATGTCCTTGCAGCTTCCGCCTTGCTCTCTGGGAACACTCACCCTTGGAACCCCAAGCCACCATGTAAATTCAACTCTGAGGCCACCACGTGGGAGAGGCCCAGCGGCGAGACCACACGTTTCTACAGCTGAGATCCCAGACATCACAGAACAGCAAACATCCCTGCTGGGCCTGCCCAAGGGATAGCTTTATGAACAAAATAAATACGCTTTGGTGGTTTTTAAGTCACTAAGTCTTGGAGTGCTTTGTTATACAGAAATAGATAACTGGAACAGGGACTTTGCAATTCGAGCCAGTGTTAGAAATGAGGCCCAAAAGTTTTTACAAACATCAAGTATTGGTGGGCAGCTAACCCTCCAAATGCAGGATTTCTAGTGTTCCTTCAAGGTCTGGAGTCATGCAGATATCAGAGAAAAAGATAGATGTTGCTGATGGCACAGATTGTCGCAGATGTTCACACACGTGCGTGCGCGCGCGCACACACACACACACACCCCGACACACAGATTTTAGGAACCACGGCATTATTCTTCTGCTTGTCTACGGAAATGGCAGGAACAAGGATAGCTATGACCTACCAGAGTCTTGAAGGTTTCCCAGACTCAAGAAATGGCGGGGAGAAGAGCCACGGTTTTGGTATGGGGACGAGGTGAAGACTTCAGGAGACTGACTCTGGAGAGGGGGCAGGGGCAGAGAAGAAATGCTGATATGAAGGAAAACAAGGG